CAACACACGTGTGGGTTTGCTGAGTGTAAATAAGATTTCTGAGTGTAAGCTTGCAAAGATGCAAAAGGGCAATTCAACAGCAACAGAACACACAGTAGATAAAGACGGTATTGAATCTGCAGCAGAGAGATGACATTGCACTGTGCATAATAGAATAATATCACATCTGCTTTCAGACTCTTTCTTTTATTGTGAAATCGTCCGCTTATGAATATTGATTTATTTTTCTTTGGTTTCCATCAGGGGTTGCAAGGACCAAGGGTGAGTAGTTATTCACTTCCTGCAGCTTAGTCACAGTTCTGTGCTCAGGCCTGTGGTCAAGTCTGTCTGAGAGCAAAAGAATGGATGACTTGATCACTATCTCATCTTGGCTATGTGAATTTTCAGGGATCTGCGGGTCCTCGTGGACCACCAGGGCCACCGGTGAGTTCTGCAGTACCTCCACAGAGGAGGTTGTTTTCATTGTTGGTTTGTCAGCAGGATTACTCAGAAACCATTTCATTTAAATGATCGAGGACAGAATATAATAGTTTCCTCCCTTTGTTTTCCAGGGTCTTTCCAGTTCTACCCTTTCACTTGTGAGTATGTTTCTCTCCAGTGTCGCTTCAGGGTTTTCTGAGGGGAATGAAGACATGTAGACACAGAAAAGTCAAGATTATCTCTGCAGTTGTGGTTAACTTATTGTCTCGCTGTCTTCTTCTTCGGTAGAGAAATGAGGCTCTTGGTGCTGCCTTTCAAGTCATCATTGATTCCCATACTGCACTGAGGCAAGAGGTCAGTTTTAAAGGGAAAAATGCTCATTGCAAAGAATCACAGTTGACTGTTGGTTGATTTCACGTTGTCCCAGAATATTATTAGAATATATTTATGGGGCATGAAATCATTGCTTTTAACTATGTGTCCACACCACGGCTCCTTTAAATATCCTGCGTCCCTTTGGTGCTTTCACATCCTCAGAAATGAACACTACAAGTCCACAAGAAACAATATGCACATAGTTTCGTCATGTTTTTTAGTTATAGAATGAAAAGTACAGCAAGTATGTGAACACTTGGCTAAACTGTAAATATATCTCCAGGCTTAAGAGGAACAAAATAATGTGGTGTAAAGAAAAGTGATAAGGAAAATATTTTTAATGCAGACCTTTCAGAACTTGGACCAGCCCATGTTAGACCAGGGCACAGAGGTTTTCAAGACCCTGCAGCATCTGAGCACTCTGATCCAGAGTTTAAAGAACCCGCTGGGAACCCATGACAATCCTGCCAGAATCTGCAGAGACCTCTACAACTGTGAACACAGGATGTACGACGGTGAGGAGACGTTTAAATCGCTTCGTCGTTCCCATACGTATATTCAATGTGTTTTGATTGATAAGAGCCATTTCCCCCTCCACACCCGGCTGCTCGTCTTTGACAGGCACGTACTGGATCGACCCAAACCTCGGCTGCACTGCTGACACTGTTGAGGTGACGTGCAACTTCACCGCTGGAGGACAAACCTGCCTGAAACCGATCACAGTATCCAAGGTTTGCCTCTCTCAGACAAAACGCCCTATAAAATTTTAACACGTATCATTTAGACAGAGACGGGATCGCTTCAGGAGAATTCTGTGCAGACAGAGGATGAATATTAAATCTACAAGCGCTCATGTCCTTGAGGATAACGTTTTCCTCATGTTGTCTTAGGACATCTCAAGAAGTAGAGAAGCCCAGAGTTTGAGTTTGGCTGTGTGACTGTCTATGTAATGCCACTGATGTGATAAATAAAGGAACACAGCTGCTCATTTTCTGGCTCTGTACAATAAACACAAGCACTATTTGGACGGATAAATCATTCATTGAATCTTAGGGAGTCACATTTAATCTTCAGACTTGGCTAAATCACCATCAAAAAGACACACAGTTGGCAAGTTAACCTGAAGAATCTGTCGTCCATCCTTTCATCCTTTCATTTTGGAGTTTTATTTCAGCTCTACAGCAAAAAAAACAAAAAAACAACCCATCATACTCTGATCCAATTCCTGTATTAACAGCAAATAAAATAAGACAGTGATCCTCAAAGACAGAATTTGGGATCCAGATGCAACTCATTCTAATTAATATCAATACCTCAATTCCCACATGGGAATGTGCACGTGCTCAAGTCGACCAACACTTCACAACAATTACCAGTTAGTAATATTTAAACCAGGAAAGCTTGTGAGCAAGCTCAATAAAAAACAGGCCCATTCTCTACTTTACATATGATTTTCAAATCCTCTGGAGCTCACGATGAAACACTTAATGAAATCCCGATATGAACAAAAGAATAAGGACACGTTGTTTTAGTCACATTGCCATCGGTTGGACTCGGCCCCTTAGTTCCAAGGAAGGGAAATCTTCACGCTTCAGCTTAACAACACATTTTGGACAATTCTATGCTTCGAGTTTGTGGAAACAGTTTGGGGGAAGGTGTTCTGTTCCAGCATGACTCCGCCCCAGTGCACAAAGCAGGGTCCATAAAGTCACGGTTGGGTGAGTCTGGTTTGGAAGAACTTGACCAGGAGCCGTGACCTCAACCCCATCCAACACCTGTGGGATGAACTAGAACGGAGACAGTGAGTCAGGCCCACTTCAGTGTCTGACCCGGGGATGTCTTAAAAGCTCCTGTAGGTGTCCCAATACTTTTGTCCATATAGTGTATTTTGGAATAGCTTCCATAACAACCCTGACAGACCTGCGCTCTGAATCACATCCACACACACGATATGCAGATTCTGACTTTAAATAATGAAACTCATGATCAGTAACTTGTCAAAAATCCACTTGCCTCACAGTTGGAGATAGGAGTGGGTCGTATCCAGATGAACTTCATCCACCTCTTGAGCACAGAGGCCGTGCAGCACATCATCATTCACTGTCTCAACACTGCGGTGTGGGCAGCAGGACCCTCGCTGCAGCCTTCAACCAGGGCCGTGAGCTTCAAGGCCTGGAGCGGAGAGAGGATAAGAGCAGGGGACCTCCTGGAGCCGCACATACCCATCGATGACTGCTGGGTACGCACTGTTAGCATGCTCACAAAATCGTCACAGCAATATGCTGATCTAGTGCTTTAGTCTTGTGATGAAAAGGATGAAACACTTGATAAGGTACTCAGCTGAAGAAGGGCACCACTACATCAAGGCAAACTCACTATATAGTGATTAGTGACACAGCCCTGGAGAACTGACCCTTTGAATGCCATCTTTCACATTAACACAGCACATGACATGATGCATCTTTCACTTTCAGATCAAAGATGGACGCTGGCATCAGACCCACTTCATCTTCCAGACCCAGGACCCGAACCTGCTCCCCATAGTGGATGTGCACAATCTACCGACAGCAGAACCCGGGGCACGCTATCACCTCGAGGTTGGACCCGTGTGCTTCTTATAGGGCCCTGTGGAGGGGGTCAGGAATACTCCTTAAAGGAGTGACTGCATGGGGGACACGAGTCCCTCAGACCTCCGTCTTCTCTCTACAACAAATGCTTGGACTGCAGAAACAGGAGTCGGCACCGGAGAGAGGCAGCCCATTAGAAATGCAGAGTTAAGACTTGAGGCACTGATCAGCCTATGGAAAACAATAATAAGCTTCTTTTTCAGAGACTGGAAAGATCTGAATGCCCCTTTTGGAAGTAATATCTGTACAGAAATAAGGAAACGTTACATCTGCAATTGCAATAATTCCTATTTTAATATTAAGATATTATTTATACATGTATATGTACTGTATATTGTAATATAAAGTGCAATAGTTATTGTTCCGCAGCCTTTCGGCATATACACCATCCATCCACTCATTCAGGTAAACAGGCACATGCTGCCACCAGGTAAGTCTTTATGAGCCTTCGCTAACTGTCCAGTGCTGAGACACCCCACGTGTAAACAGACGTTTCAAACTGCTGTGTGGTGCTTTCCGTGTTTAGGTTTCCGCCAAAGGTTTCCACAGTGTGAACCGAGAACCGGTGTGTCCAGATGCTACCTCGTACCGCACCTCGCATCTCACAGCAAGTGGGACGACGCAGAGGTGAAACCTGGTGCTGCAACGGTTGACACGCCAACAATAAACCCCCGTCAGCTCTCAGCAAAGCAAAGTCTGTGCTTTACGAATAAAAGGGAAGATTGTAAAACACACAAAACGAATTACAAATTCATTAAATTATATTTTCATGGTATTCTTACATTTTCAGTACTCTTTTTTTTTTTTTTTACGAGTCTGACACTATGAATAAAGTTTTTTTTCTCATTGTTAAAATGTAGATGTTTAACTATGCAGCTTGTATTTGCTACAGTGGAGTCTATTTAAATATTATTTAAATTCTGATTCGTGTTCCAGTTCAAAACCAGATATCAAGGCCGTGTTTTAAGCACATTCTCACTCATGTGGAGCTTAAAAGATTCTTCAGTCTGTTTGAGGTTTTACGTTTGATTATGTTACAGTCCTGGACAATCAGCTGTATTTTGGGACATTAACTTAACTTAATTAACTGTTGGTTAATTTGCGCAGCAGTCCCACCGATCTGTATCACACTCAGAGGATTTGTCACAATACACAACAATAAACCACCACATTACATGAGCTCACAGGTCTGTACAGACATTTTATGCTGTGTGAATGAAGTCTAATGAAAAAGGTAATTTAATAAATGTCTAAAACCTTTTGTTGATAAGCAGCTTTCAGTTATTTTTCCTCATCATTGAACATTTCATAGCAGAAGCAAAGCGAGATAACAAAATGCATTTAAACTGCCTACTCGGAAAAGTACATTTTAGTCTCCGTCTGTTCGTTTCACACCTGAAACTGTCAACGTCCTGACAGCTCCTGCCATTGTAAACACAAAGAAAAATGGTGTCCTTGAAGTAATGCCTTGTTGTTTGTTTCCCTCTCCGCAACATTTCTCCTCAGTTTAATTTTTGTGGCACTGCAGCAAATTCTGTCAACCACAGTGTTGTTGGATACAAAGACGCAGAGACTTGGAGAGTTTGAAAGTACTATATTAGCAGACTGCTCTATGTTAACATACACAGCCTTATCTTGGGCACATGGCGTGGCGGCCACCGTCTACGGGTAGGTTGACTCCGGTAATGAAGCTGGAAGCGTCGGACGCCAGGAAGGCGATGCTGTGGGCCACTTCCTCCACCTCGCCAGGTCGGCCGAGGGCGTGGGTCTGTTTACACTTGGCGAGAAACTGGCGGCGAAACAGACAGGACGAGGACGAGGGAAGACATATTTAGTTTCCATCTTCTGTTCTTTTATCTTCTAGACAGAAGACGATAAAGAACACAACACACTAGTGTCACGTCATGATGCGTTACCTGAGCGTACTGCTCCTCATCCAGTCCTGCTCTCTTGTGGACATCTGTGATAATCACACCTGGGCTGAGGAGATCAAAACAGAAAGATATGATATAAAAACAGAAATGCTCGATTTCAACAGAGAAAACTGATTTCGAAAAATAAGGAAAATGTCGATTATGCAAAATGTTCCCGTACCACACAGAGTTCACTCGGACCTGCTTCGATGAAAGCTCTGAAACAAAAAGCAGTCATGTGATTTCCTGTGAACCTTTTCGACATGAACCTTTACAGTGTTGAACACAAACAGCTCAGACGGCTCACCGAGCGCTATACAGCGTGTGAACTGGTCGATGGCGGACTTGGACATGCAGTAGGCCAGCACACCAGGGAACTGCAGGGAGACAAACAAATATCACAGGTCTCAAAGATGCTTGACGATAGATAAAGAGCAAATGGAGGTCGATGTCGGAAACCTCCGTCCAGCTGCTGAACACTCACTGATCTCTGTCCATTGACGCTGGACACATTGACGATGGAGCCTTTGGTCTTAATCAGGTGCGGGACACACAGTTGAGTCAGATGGTAGATGGATCTGGAAAATGAGGCAAAGCATAGAGGGAATGTTTAAAATGGGAAAAAGTATCACTCGGTATTAAGTTAATAACCATCAGTGTAGACGCAAAACATTCTTTTATCCTTTTAAGAAATATTTTCGGGCCTTTTGTTTTTATTTCTGATAGAGACAGGGAAGCACAGCGGTGAGAGAGTAGAGGGATGATGAGGTGTGAATCCAAACCAATCAGCTGTCACACTTTCAGTCATGCACTGGATCCACACATTTAATATTCTGGATCAGAGATAATTCACACGCTATCAAAGAGCATGAAAAGTGCAGCACATAGCAACACTGTGTGTATGTGTCCTGTAGTGTTTTGAGTGATGGTTAAAAAAAAGTGATAAATGAATTGCCTTACAATTCATATCTTTCTCTCTGACAATTAATATCAATGTTCACCTTATGACACAATAACAGTCAAACCTAAAAGTATTGCAGCATTCACAGGACCACCATCCCTGCCACTGCACTCTCAAGTTGTCAGGTCTCTTACCTGACGTTGATGTTCATGACTCTGTCGTACTGGGCCAGGTCCGACGTCTCGATGCTGCCCATGGCCAGAATACCGGCGCTGTTGACCAGGACATCCAGGCGGCCGAAGTGAGCGATGGTCTTCTCCACTGTCGTCTTCACCGTCTCCTCGTCCGTCAGGTCTCCAGGAACAAGCAAAGGCTGCACGGTAAAGAAGCGCAAAATCATTCATGACTCTGTGAGCCTTATTTCCTCTGGCAGCTCATTCCAGAGCTTCGGGGCCTAAAGGTTCTGTCCCTGGACTCTGGAACACTGAGGAGCCAGGCAAAGGTTCATATGGGATCAGAAAGTCTAAAATACACTCAGGGGCCAGGCCAGGGAGAGGCCTGACAGGCAAATCAATAATATCTCAAAAATCAATCCTTAAAACAAACAGGGAGCCACTGTGACGTGGCTGAAACATGTGTAATATGATTAGAAGTCGAGCAGCCGAGTTTTTAACAATTTAACATTTTTAAAACAAGGAAGAAAAAACAGCTCAGGTGCAATGAGGCTGTGGTGTGCTCATGATTTCTGGATCTTGTAAGAACCTTTGCTGGAAGGTTGAAGGTGGAGCAGGAGCCCAGCGAACAAGAATGATGAGTAACAGTAGTGTCGATATTATCCTCACTCATGAACATTCACTGTACATTCATGCTGCACAGGATGATTTAACAACTTAGGTTTCACCCTCATCCCATAGCAAAGTGTCATGTTTTCATCTTTTTGTTTGTTTGTTGGCAAAGTTAGCCTCAACCGATTTTCAGTCAATTTTCTGGAGGAATGGAGTCTGACCCCGGGAAGAATCCATACCTCCGTGACTCTTATTTACTTTATTTTAATTTAATTTTGTTTTAACAGGAGGAATCCATAATATTTTGGGGCAGATCCAGGATTCCCCTGCACAACCTCAGAATAAATCTCTGCAGATGGAATGTATACACACTGACATTTGCTGCACCATAGTTTCTTTTTACAGGTTAGTCTAATGCACAGCTTTGTTCAGCTTCAGCTATCTATCTTTGAATATATGCATTTATATTTGGCTTCAATACTCAG